CTTTACACGAATTTGTCCAGACATTGTAAATTGGTGTGGGAAATGGATTAAGTTTAGACAAGCAATAACTACAAAGAATGCGGCAAAGTCTTCCATTTCCATCAGAAAATGGGTGCAGATCAAGCAGTTCAAACAAAAACCAGGAACATGTCTTAAATAAGCTGTAAACATCAATATCTTCGTTTAAACAGGAATCATACAGAAAGTTGTATTTGTCGAGTAAGTTGATGACTGCACTCTCCATATCGTGTGGATTTGCGTAATGGTATACCTCTCCTTTAAATTCGGTAACTCTTGGTTTGTTACTCATTTCACCAGGTTTCGTTAAACCTCTATGCTGGGGAATGTTCTGTAGTATCAAACGGTGAGTTTCTTTAAGTAAGTCGACCTCCAGGAGTCCATAATCGCTGGTTTTTTCTTCACTCTTAACTTTTTCTACCAAGCTTTCATAAGCATTTATTAAGTTTACTGTTTCTTGCTCTTCGAGGGAGAAGGAACTAAGTGTCGACAAGCGCGTTTCAGAAGAACAATCTCTGAGCAAGATTTCAGTATCCTTCAAAGTAGCGAATCCATGTCCTTCTTCTGCATTGACATGAAAAACAAAATGGACGAGAAAATCTTCTTTTACCTTTTTTATCAAATCCTCGTGGTAGTGATTCTCCGCTACAGCTTTTTCCCACCGCTTGTGATACTCTGTGATGCCAGTGATCATTTCTGTAACCGTTTTCGGATGTGTGACGTGTGAACGAGAACTTGAGTGCCACGATGGATTTTCCAAAGCGTCGAATGAAATGAGGCTTCCGACGGGATATCTATCGGTTTCACCCATGACGAAGTTGTTTTAGAGATTTCAAAACGTTGATGAAACCTTTCTTCCTAGCCTTTGAAAAAATTTCCTCTCAAAGCTAACGCGAAATTCTTTTGGACTGAGCGCGCAACGCTGAGCTGTCTGTTGAGGTCACAGGTAATTATAGACATATGAGGGAGGCATAAATAAACATATTGACATAATTATGATGTTAGAGACCGCTGGCAACATTGTTCAAGCAACAACCGACCGACAGTCGTAACAACCCTCCAACTGTGCAAGCACATGCTTCACTGGTGGATTTCAAACCCGAGGTAATACGGGGAAAGTCAACTTGAGAGAAGATAGGTTTTTCTTTGAGGTGAATTTTGTGCGTCACTTACTATTTACCCTGTCGTTTTATGAGTTTCATTCGTTATTTTTTACTTCTTCAGGTAGAACTGGCTGTTCATGTTCCTGCCCTTGTGAAGTTCGTTAGTCAGAATAGAGGTCAACAGCTACGGCTTTTGAATGAATAGGAGACCATTTTGTTGATCATACCACTGAAGAAGATTCCAGGCCCTGAGAAGAAACCAAGAAGAATGTGAGTATTAAGCAAAATCGGTTAAATATTGCCAGGTTGAATTCCGAAAAGGCAATTATTGATTCTCAACCTAATTGCTTCACAAACACAGCTTCATGTTTTAAGCCCAGCTTCGTGTACATTTTATAAGCTTAAATCAAGGTTCTAACTTGAAGCTGTGTTCAGGGTTCGTACGGGTCCTGGAAATCCTGGAAAGTCCTGGAATTTTATTATCGCGTTTTCCAGGACTGGAAAGTCCTGGAAAAGTAGTGGTGGTCCAGGTAAGTCCTAGAAATCTGTTAAACTTGTATTTTTATTACGTATGCTTTTCTGGTTTTGACCGCATGACCGCATCAATATTTCTTCATGTTTCCCGAAACTGACACGAGTGTAACTCAGGATCGAGGGCTCATGTATCATCATAAGCTCATGCGCATTAGTAACCCAGGTTAATTTTGGAGTCCTGGAAAAATAATCTGAAGCCTTGAAAAGTCCTGGAAAAGTCCTGGAGAATTGTTTCTGAAAAAGAGTATGAACCCTGTGTGTTTTTATAATACATGGAAATAGTGTGGTGAGGTATCAGTTCCTATTAAATACATGTTTATTCAAATTTATATCTACAAAATTTGAAAAGGGAAGTTTAAAGGTTAATTAAGTTAATTAATTGACGCCTGAACCACCTGTAATCGCCCGAACCATGTGATTGGCTAGCGCGAGAACACTTTCCCCTCTGCATGCCCCACTAAGTAGAGTTTTGTCCCCAAACTTCCTCTATGGTTTGGAGATCAATAAACCAATCAGAATCCATCACTAAATGATCAAATTTGAAATTATGGTGTCCACACGGCCCACCCTCAAAATTTTCAGGTCGGATTTTTCATTCATTTGTGATTGAGTTAGACCTTGTGGAACTCAGAATGTAAAGTAGCAATGCTATAGAATACTCTGCTTGGAAAATAATGGATATCAAGGTCTTAAAGGTGACAGAATAAGCTCTCGAGTCAACAACACTATGATTCTCTAAGGCGATGTGAATTATGGACGTAAAGTGAAACCAAACTTTCGGACTTCAAGGAGGGCTTAGCAACAAGTCGACGATTCAATGGCCCGGTAAATATTATGTTTGAGTAACAATGTGTTAAAAAAGTATTGTTTAATAGAAGATTTTGTGTCAAATTGAAGTTTTTTCAGAATTTTCAACATAACCTGTGCAATTTTCTGGCCATGAAGGCAAGTAAACAACGACCTAAGCAGGATGAATTTTACCGCATGGGCTTTTTACATGTGAGAAATTCATACGTTTTTTGCTTTTAACGGTAAATCAAAAACTGTTTCAAATAAATCTGTCGTCCTGAAATATTTCTTGGTCATTTTCATCTTGCTTCCTATTGACAGATTCCATGGAACTTGAGATCTCTTCACTCACGGACAAATTTGCATATTCTCTTTTGAAATATGATCCGCATGCCCATTTACACACATGCAAAAATATTTAGCGATTTTTATCTTTCATCTTGATTTTTTAGTAAAAACTTGATCTGCACCTATCACCTTTTTTGTCGGAAAGAAGTTCTTTAATTAGTCTTCTTTCATTGGAGCTTCTTTTTTGGAAAAGATGTTTAAAAATTTACTGCGCATTGTGTATGCTTTCTTGGTTTCTCCAAAATTTTGACTTTTCATAGGCACGTGTTACAAGTAAGTGTCAATGGTTAACCCTATAATGAAACTTCCCTGCAAGGAAAAAAAAAAAGAATATATATATATATATATATATAACTCTATAAAGAAAAAAAATTTAATATAATTTTGTTTTAAAACTAATGCCCAAGTAAGCTTAATTTGTATCTTTTTCAGTCCTTTACCACACTTTGTATTCAGAGCATGTAGCGGTTTCCGAAAAAGGGTGGTTCAAAAGTAAAGGAACTGCTGAAGGCAAGGATGTTACAGTGAAAAAGGCATGATATTGACTACCATATTTGCAAGCAAAATTTCATTATAATACTAAAATTATCAGGGATATCTACATCAGTAGCAGTAGTAATGTAAGGTGTGGAATGGCATGACTGGGTTAGGATGAATTTGGTATACTAGGTCCTCTACATAGTTACATGGGAATAGCTAGTTTCACCCATAAGCATCACTTTAAAGCTGCGGGATGGTGAATTTTTATTAGACAGTATTTCAAAGACACTGAAATGAATAGAATGGTCACATGAAAAGAGCATCAAAGTGGCAAAGATTCATGGAAATGTTAGTACCAACAAGGCTTGGAGATGAGTTTTCAGTATATGAAGTCATTTTGGGCAAGATCTATCGTCTTCCTTGGAATTATCTCTATGCAAAGATCTGGAAGACTTCTTTATCTATAGAAAGCCAGGAAAGCTGCCTTGTCTTAAACTCTCTATTCTTTTTTTTTTCATGCTGTAATAAGGACAAAAATAGATTTGTACCAGTGTCCAAATGAAAAGGGGAACCATTAATCAAGTATTTCAGAATAGTCTTAGTTAAACTCTTGATTGCCATCCTCTCTTGTGCTGGACATTGGCATGCAACTAACTTCAAGTCTTGTTTCTCTTATTTTGGAAACCAGCAATTATTCTCAACTGGTGGTCAATCAGCAGTTAGGTTATATGTACATGTAAAGCAAAAGGACCATCTGTAAAACTTTGCATTTTTGTGTTTTGCTCTTAAGCAAATATTTTATGAATCAAACTTCTCAAGATACTTGATTGTTCCACAGGGTAACTGAAATGAAGTTTTTCATTGCCACTTCCCACTTGTATTGAGTAGTTTAGTTTAGACCCTGAATAAATAGTATTACACAGTAGATAGGTGCTGGAATATGCAGTTATGTTTGTGGTTTTTTCAAATCTGATGGTGATCTCTTTGACCAAGCTTCATGCATGTTGTTTTGTTGCAGATTTCCAATCCCAGTTAATTTAAAGAAAGTAAACTTGAAGAAAGAAATAGATAAGGTTCTTAACTGTTCTTTGATGACACTGTGGCATGGATCATGCGGGTGAGCTTCTAAAGAACTCATTTTATTATTTCTCTCAGTCAGTATGTGAGCTACATTGTAGAAATGGTCAGTTAAGCAGGGCATATTTCACTATATAGTGTGCTAAATTCAAAAGTTTGTTTGAAATGAAGTCTTTGTCTTCTATTTAAACCCAGTGCTTTGATAAAATTAATATCTTACCAAATTCCTTTTCTTGGACCATTCTGTAAGTCACAGAACCTTGTGTTTTCCACTTGGATTTATGGCCAGCATGTCTGTGCTTGGGCCATGAAACTTGTAACTTGCAGTACAGACCTCAAACCTGGTTATTAAGTGGTATTAATGAGAGTGTTTCCAGAATTGAATTGAATTGAATTGAATTGAATTGAGAGGTGAATTGTTAGACAATTCACCTCTCAACTAGAAGAGTTCTATAAGTGGTCATTGGAGTGGTTGTGTCCATTGTGTTATCATAGTGCACCTAGCATGTGCATGTGCTTTTGAAATTTTTGTGACTATTAGAAATATCGTTTATTCAAGAATATTTATGTTTCGTGTTGATCTTCCTCTTTTGTACAAGATAGTGAGTTGAACACCAAGTTTGCGCAGAAGAAAAGGCTTTTGAATGTACATTTTCAGTGAAGTTTGCTGAAGCTTCTCAGAGAATTTCTCAATTCAGTTTGAGTTCAGGTAAAAATATTGTATACTTGGAAGTCTGAGAAACAAAAGCCCGAGGAAATCATTAGAGGAGTTGTACATGTGATGATTATAGTTCCCATTTTGTTAGAAAGCCCTCACACAATGTATTCCATCAACACTGAGTGTTTCATATGAAACAAGGACACTAAAATACATATATGTTGCATTGCAGTGCTATTAAGGTGGGTCATACTGGACAAACAATTGAACAAGCTGTAGAGAATGTTGTCAGTGCTGTCAGGGAAATCACCAAGATTGTCCCAAAAGGATGGAATAACATTCAATCCCTGAACCTCAAAACATCAGAATAAATAGCTCCTCCACTTTATACATCATTGCCTATCACAAATCTCACCATAGGAAATTCACAACCACGTGCTAAAAAACAGAAAAAGGGGGACTCACAACCACTTGCTAAAAATGGAAAAAGGAAGACCCACAACCGCCTACTGAAGAATTGAAAAAGGACGACTCACAACCACCTGTTAAAAAAAATAAAAAAAAAGGAGGACTCACAGCCACCTGCTAAAAAATGGAAAAAGGAGAAAAAAGCACCACCATAATTTTACACTGCACAATGTACAGAACCCCCCTTTGAGGTTCTACAAAACAATTTTTTGAAGAAGGAATAACAAAATATTGGTGGTTTGAGATTGAAGGCAGGATCATCGGAGATTTTAGTGTAAATTAAAGATTTTCTGGCCATAAGCCAAACTGCACAGCTGGAGGATTGGTAACATCCACTTAACCATTTAACTTCCAAGATCTCATCACCAATTGTCCTGTCTTGCAGCTTACACACTTCCTTGAAAATTAGGTATGAGAATTTGGTGTTTCATCCAGATAAAAACTCCTACCTGTTCAGTTTGTGTATTCTCATTACCTGTTTGCTGGAGTTTGTGTGGATACAATAGGAAGAATTTACATGTTAATCACTTCTGAGAGTGAAAGGGTTCGGTCAGACTGCAGGGTGAAATGTGACTGGTGAAGCTGTGAGATGATATTCACCTGGATTTCTTCATTTTCTCGTTCCTTTTTTTTTTTTTTTTTTTTTTTTTTTTAACTTATCAGCTCAAGAAAAAATATTTTTACGACTTAGATTATGCAAATTTCACTTACATTTTAGTTTTGCCAACAATCCTTTCACTCCTAGGAGTGAGAAAGAAGTAATTTTATCCTTACAATGTCATTTCAATACCAAGCATTCAAGGTGATTAAAATAAAGCGTCAACAAAAGGATATTGTTTGATTTTACTCCAAATTCTTAAAGCTGGGATCTCATGTCTTATCAAGGAAACCTCACTGGTTTGTTCGTTATCCAACTATCAAAAAACTTTGTTAAGTTCTACTCCATAATGTCTTCCATTCCTGTCGTTGAATTGCTACAAATACAGTGCAAAGATGATTGCCAAACTTTTATGTGGTAGTAAATCAAATGTACTTGATTACGTCTAGTGAATTTGATAAAGTAAATTCAGATTTACAATTTTCTGTCCCTCACGAAACCAAGCGAAAGACTTTTTTCAGGCGTATTTGTGATTGAAAACAGAAACCCCCAAACACTTGCGAAATAAATAGCTTTTACTGTCTCAGCTCTATATTTATGACGTCAAGGGAAAGAAAAAGACAGGTTCGATATATCGATAACTCTTTTAGCAATTACACTTGCCCTTATGACACTTACCACCTTAATGAAAACGAAATAAACTGAGGGGTAAACAATAACTCAAGTCCGCAACTGGCCGACCTTTATGTCGGTTCTTCTGCGTCGTGACTCAAACGAGATGCCGAGGTAACGCGCCAGCGAAAAATTTACGATTAAGGAGTCGAAAAATGTTCCAATGTTCGATAGCTTTACCGGGAGAATGAGCGCAAGAAGCTACCACGCTGTATTAAGGGCGTTCAGTTTTCTTTTCATCAAACCATAATCAGTTTTTTCGACTTTCGTCGGTAAGAAGTCATCTTAAACTCCTGCGTTATCTTGCCTCTAAAGGTATCCACAAGGTCCGTGCAGTAAAATGAACTGATGATAATGGTTCAGACAATGCACTTGCAGTAGCAGGCTCGCGTCAAAGTTTGCATGAAATCTTACCTTTCTATTTACGGACTGAATATTAGGCTCTATCAGTTTAGTGAACTTGGTCTTACCTCTTTCACGATAAGAAATCTGACATTCCCAACATCTTAAGCCAATATTGGCAAACGCTTTAGAGTGCTTCATGTAAATCATGTATTTTTCAGGAAACAGGAACGAATTAATAAAGTTAAGAGGTAAGAGAGTCAATTAACTATAGGAAAGTCACGTACTGCTACGATAACATAAAGAAAGAGATCATTTCAACACAATGATTCAAATAAACACCACGGACGTTAGTTAAAGTTTTCCTCTTTGCCGAGAGGAAACTCCTGCGTGCTGCGTTCTTTTCAAGATTCATCCTCCGGCGATTCGTCCAAGTTTCACGTCTGGAATTTCTTGCTTTAAATGATCGCCACCTCACTAGTTTTCTGTGAGTTGAAGTTTTAAAAGGTAAGATTGCACTCTCACAGGCCATAATAAGGTTTTCACAAATATCTGGGAAGAATTTCTTTTTTGAATTCTAACTTTGGTGGCAAGTCGAATTAATCACCCGGCATTTCTGCTTTCCGACAATTTGTTTGTTAGAAGCTAAATGTCAAGATCTATATTCAGTGTTCGCCTTTAAAACAGAGGTGGCTGAACAGTGTGAAAAGCAGTTTAAAACTGAACACAGTAATAAAACTAACATTGGGACAGTTCGAAGACAATGACATTATCAATTCTTAAATTTTCACGGAGAATGAAATTAATTCTTGTGGCAAATTAGGGTTCTGTAAACAGAGTTTTTAAAATTTGGCAGGGTACTTTTGTGGATAGAAGGACTGAGGGCGCAACTGTTAGCTAATAAGAACAGTATACTGCAGCATGAAGAAGATAAAGGACTAGCTCTCTAGATAGCTAGTCACGGCTTGAAGTGGGGTTAAACCATTAGCCGTCAATCGGCCTAAAAACTTTTAATCGTTTGGCGTCAAAAAGGATAAATTTTTATCGTAGATCGCCAGAAAAGCAACTCAATATTAGCCGTCAAACACTTTAAAGATCTTTCAGATCTCCTTTAGGCTATTATCGCTGCTTGCTAAAAAAAAAAAAATTAGATCTAGCCGATCTCGAAACATCTTTGAGCTTGTAAATTAGTCTCTTAGTTTCAAACATATTCCCTCAGTAGCCACTGCCTAAACTGACGGTTTGAAAATATCGTTTTTAATGTTAAATTAATGTTTTGATCTTCAAAACAGCTTTCTTCTTTAATAACTTGTTTCTTGACAACTCCTGTTGTCTCACTTTGTAATATGAAAGCTGCCGCCCCATGTTTATGGTGATGTTAACGAGTTTATTCTTCTTGCAAAGTGCGACAGGTTTTTAAAAGAGTGACACTTAATTTTATTGCAAGATGCGACAGGACGCTATAACGGCAAGAGAAAATAACGATTGAGAAAACTGAAAATTACAGCATATAGCTCCCCATCAACAACCCTACTCAGAGTTACCATAATCATTGTTCATGATAACCTTTTTTCAGGGAAACGGTGAGACGTTGTCTGAAATCTTTTCTTCCTGCAATATGCTATGGGGTCATATTTACTAATCTATAGCGTAGTTACAGTCCTTCCATAGCCGTTTTATTTCTCGTATTTATGATAATTACTTTTTAAGCGAGGAATTTTGAAAAGGAGCGCTTTTGTTCACGTTCAGTAAACCCTCTGTGGCTCTAATTCGTTTACGCTCTGATCATAATATAAGCTCTGCTAATCAGTTGAAGCGGAAAGAAATTTTTTCTTCCTCTCACGAGCGTTAACGAGGGATCGAACCCTAAGACTTTCGGATTCCGTGCTCCGAGGCTTTAATATTGAGCTACACAAACTCTATAGAGAGCTAGTCAGCACTAGATTCATATATGATAAGCGTTCCGCATAATTTTGTTTACACCTTTAGTGTCGTGAACCAAGGTGTTGCTTGAAACCAAATATCAGTTATTGTTAGAGTTCTTACAGCCACTTTACTTCTTCAGGGGAAGACTGTAGAGGTCTGAATATGATTTTACTCGTATATAAAAAAAATTAAAATAAAAAACGATATTGATATAACTTGAATAGAGAAATATCTTCCTAATAACCAAAACCCGTTAAATTCAGTATAATTTAACTGTCAGCCGTCAAGGGCCCTAACATATAACCGTCAACAGCCTGAGTCAAAATCGCCAGGTGAAAGGACGTAAGATACGTGAACAGTGTACAACAACGAGACTAGAAATTCACCCTAAACGCATCGAAGAACACAGTAACTGCGAAGCCCGCTCTTGGGAGGAACTCGTCGAGCGCTTAACTGAGTCGAGACGTGAGATAGACCGTAGCCCTCCTGTGAGGTTGCTCATTTTCAGTTGCGATTTCAAGGTAGACCGGATCTTATATATATAATATCACATACTCTAGTTTAGTTTTATGGATACTTTTATTTTCCCTAAGAACTTTTCACAAATATTGCGGTTGAGACCAAATATAAATTGGACATATTTTCTTATTTATTGTGTTCCCTGGTATTGAATATCAGAAGTTCACTCTTATGTGCATGGGCGTGTGCGTGTGAACGTCTTTTTTTGTTTTTTTCTTGTTTTTTTTTGTTTTTGTTTTTTTTTTGTTTTTTTTTTTTCTGGCGAATTTACATTGCTGCTTTTCCCGTAAAGTCGAAGAAAACAAAAAATGATCGGATGACCTCTGTAGACTTCATTTCAAAGCAGTGATTACCATGAGCGCTTTAATTGCAGAAAGAAAATGCAACTTGCTCCATGTTCATGCTGTTATTTAATAGTTTCTAGGTCGATAAGAATCGCGCGAATGCCGAAAAATTTGTCGTTTCTTATACTCTGGTTTTGATTTTCCTTCTCAGTCAAGATATGGGTTAGTTCAACTTCCTTAGATAAATAGCAGTGTTAATCCCTGCAGAAGAACTCGAAATTTAACTTCATAACATATCTGCCATGATGTATTAGACACAGAGGCGCTTTCTTTTTATCCACGATGCCCTGAGCCTTAGCCACCTGTACTAACTTAGGCATGGCCTTCAATCAACTTTAATTTTTATTCAGGCGCTGCTGGTTTCTGGAGACGAGCCTCTGTCGATCTGCCTCTAGTACGTGATAATCAAGCTAGTCGAAATAAATCTGAAAATATGAATGCATCAACATGAACTACGGGAATAATACTGATGCTAACTGAAATTAACTCACTAAATAAATTTTAGCTTCATACCCTCCGGCTTGGAAAGTAATGGATACTCCTAATATTAGAAAAAGATCATAAAACATAATTTGCAAGCAGTCATCTGTCTCCAATTCAAATGATTTGCTTATTGATATGTAGATATAAATTTTTCATTAAGCGAAGGCCATTTAGGTTTTTACGCCATTTCTATCAATACAGAACAGATGTCTTGCAGATCATCACACAACAAGTTAACTATAAAAAGGTGAGAGTAAGCAAGCAATGAAAAAACTCTTACGACTCAATTTACTAAAACTTGCAGAAAAACCAGCAGAATTTTATATACCCACCTGTTTCATAACGAGTGATAGTTTAATTTACTACTGGACCGAGTAAACACATGTCAGTTTAACTTCAATTAATAAATATCTGGAGCAAAACTAGGCCGTGAAATTGAAACTGACCAAAATGAAAAGTGTCTTAGCTTGCATCAAATAATTTGAAATTTTAGGTAAATCTTGAAAAGAAAGGCCACGAAACTGTTCTACTACGCTTTGAACAAATGAAGCTTTTCATGATTGAGCCCGGATCCGGCCTTCTAAGCGCTGGCGAGAGTTCCCCAACGAGTTTGGCGCACAATGAGTGCTAAAGTACTCGCAGACCTTTCACTTGACGGCCTCGCTTTTTCACGAGAAAAACGCTCGTGTCTCAGCGCCAACAACGAGAGCCTAGGTGCAAGATCATTTACAGTTGAGAGTAAATCCGTGAATAGAGGACGCGATTTCTAGAAAACGATACGCTGTAAGAATTACATGAAAATTAATGATAAAAAATATGGGTAAGTTAACGGAAGAATCACTTTAATTTAGTAGAGAGAATAGCGTCAGAGAGGTCACGGCGCTCTCCCGCAATGGATCATGGTTAACGACGGTCTTTCCAAAACTCTTTGCACTTATCTGTGCTAAACTTCACGAACCTTACCCAGAAACTAAAACCACTGATAATTTTTTCTGTTGTTTATTTGTTGTGTGCATTTAGACTTTTACCTGTTAGTTAATATCACGGCCCAGTACTAGTAATCGAATAAATCGCAATCCAGCGGATAAGTGTTAACAAAACATACTGTGCTATCCACCGAATAAAGATTTATTCAGCAGTTATTAGCGTCCTTCACCCTTCGAACAAACGGGACCAGACTCAGGCCAGGTTGATATATGGGTATTCATTTGTTCACTCCTTTACTTTTTTTAACAGATAAATTATTTAAAACTCTCTACCATGTCCGAATCGAGCTCAGCTGCCTTAACAACAATATCATTTATTGTGGTCGTTGCAAATGTGGTAGGAAACTCTCTTGTCTGCTGGATCATTAAAAAGAACCGAAATATGAGGTATGTTGGCAAGCGGCGACCTCGGTTTTTCTTTTTTTATTTTGTTTTGTTTTGTTTTGTTTGTCTGTTTTCGTTCATTTTCATTTTGACAAATTGTAAAAGGTTTCAGGTCTGTTGCATACTTTATTTCGAAGCACATTATAAGGGTACATTGTAAGTTCCCATATATAACATGCCAAAGTAAAGTTGGCAGACAACAGAGGGGGTCACGGGAATTGCTTAAATCGCAGGCTCATTATTCATTCAATTTTCATCCTCAACTTTTTGCAATCCCGCAGAACGTCCTTGAATTTTCTACTTGTCAACCTGGCTGTAGCAGACATCTTGTTCGCAGTGTTCATAACTCCGAAAGTCCTTGTCAAACTGACTCTCTCCCACCCTGACGGGCTGACAGGGATATTCCTGTGCAAATTCGTGACAGGTGGAGGTTTTGCGTGGATGGGAGGCGCTTCTTCCATTGTCACCCTGGTTTCAATCGCTGTTGAACGTTATTATGCAGTAATGCATCTATTTAGCAGCAAAGGAAAACTAACCAGGCGTAGACTTAAGGTCTGTTCTCTTTGTAGGTAGCTTGTTAATCAGTTGGCGAAACTTATTAATTTCCCTTGATGAATTATTTTGCTTTCGTCTGTTACTACTCAGAGAGAATCATAGCAGGTATGAAAAAAAGAACAACCAAAAAAACAGACAAAAAAAATTAAAGATAAAGGATCTATTTTCAGTGTCTTGTGGTACTTAACTTTTCGGGAAAAATATTATGAAAAATGTTATGAAAAATACTTTGAAAATCAAATCCCTGCTCTTCTTGAAAAGTGCCATCCAAACCTAAAAATCGTAATATCACTTTTTGTTCGCAGGAGCTTTATCCACCTCGATCTCCCTTGACCTTCCGGCTCTCTTTCCGGGTTCGCGCCCAGATATGAACAGTACGTGTGTTCTTCCGCTTAATCTCTCGAGGTCTCGCAAATATCTTGAGATAGTTTTAAAAATGAAATGGCTTAACTTCATGATTTTTCTTCAGGTCATTATCGCTACTTCGTGGATATTCTCGTTAATCTTAAATTTGCCGGTGTTCTTGGTCAGGTCCTTTGATGATAAAAGCCAACAATGTTTCCTAAAATATCCGGAGACGTGGATGACTAAGGCTCGGGAAATGGCCTGGCTCGTCTTGACAATTTTTCCTTTAAGGCTCATGATTGGCTTATACTCCAGAGTCGTATACCTCTTGTGGTTCAAAAATACTCGAGGAGCCAGTCAGCTCAGCAGCAAACAAAAGGTAAGGCCAGGTTTAGTGTAGCTTGCTATAGCTGTTCATTTCTATCATAGAAAGGAGGTTACGTTTCCAAAGAAACTGTGTTTCAGCGTCAGTGAGGGAGGGGGGTTTATAACAAGATAATTTGGTTTTACCGGCCGAGTAAAAGCCGTTAGTCCTTCGTTGGATTCGCACTAACGAAGGGCTTACGCTTGTGGGTCAACTTTAGTTGGGTGGTTAATTTACATTATCAGACCAGTTGATAAAACCAAATCATCTCTAACGAAGCTTATCGTGATTTCCACGTCAAGAAGCAGTTACTTCTCCTACGACCAACTCCTAAGGCTTGTCTACCTCAAATACACCTCTCTTCGCAGGGATTTGCTGCTTTCACGACAGTTTTCTGGCGCATGTTTCTTTCATAGTCCAGGGGGGAGAAAACACACCGAGAGCCATCTCACCTTAATGTCTTGCTTGAGCACACAACGCAACCACCCCGCCAAGACTTGAAACTGAAACCTCTCGATCAGTGTTCCTAGTACACCGCCGGACCCTGAGCAACTCGTCCCTCAACAAAATTTTAGTGAAGCGACTTTTTTTTCCTGACCTTTCATCTGGTTTAAGTTATTATACCAGGAGTCTTTATGCAACCAAGAATGTTTTGCACCCACCCTATCAAGTTTACTTTTTGGCCTGTCCATTCACCCAGTTACTGTGTGATATCACGAGATAATATATCGATTTTTGCTTTCCAATATTTATGTGATATTTGTTTATCAAAGGGCGTACTGAGAGTACGAAAACGAGTCACTTTGACAGTGATAGCCGTCAGTGTCATCTTTGCAATCTGCTGGGGGACGAGTTCAGTTATTTACTTCATGATCTACGTGACATCCTGCGACTTTGGACATGCTGGAGCAATTGTCATAACAGTTGCGGACATGATGATCCTGTTCAATTCCGCCGTCAATCCATTTGTGTATGCTCTGTTAAATCATCAATTCAGAGAAAAAATTAGAAGAATGACGTGCTGCTCTCGTTCCTCGCCATCCAGAATCCATCCTATAAGCAACCCACCGAGCAAAGAGTTCGCGGACGACAGCGCCGCCCACCTGTCACAGATTGGAGGACTAGGGCAGAGCGCTTCATTACATGTTCTTTACTCGGTAACTTGTTGAATTTCAATTTGTATAGCAGCGGTAAATGACTTAAGGAATAGAGTTGATAATTGTAGATTAGCTGAATATTTAAACTGTGTGCAGGGAAACCGCGATCCTTTCAACCGGCGCCACAGATCTGGATAGCAAATGTAAGAAACTGGATGGTAAGACAAATCAACCAATGGAGAAAAAAATCGAAACCAATTTCAGCGCAGACTTAGAAAGCGTGTTGTTTTCGACCAGGTCTCTCGTACCATGGATTGGAATGAAGAGTTTGCAGGAATGGGAATGAGATTGGTAAGCCTCGTAAACACTTATAGGCGGCGAAGCCGTGCGATAGGCTCGGAACCCAAGGAAATAGAGAACCAAAACAAATTTAAACTAAATGCCAAACAAAACAGAGACGAATGGAAAAAAACGTGACGTGTACATCCTTCTGTTTAACAACTGCAATAAGTAATTGGTATCGCATCCCCTCCTACTACTGATTATGAGGAGACATGTCAACCACCTTAACAAAGGAAAAAGTGTTTTGAAGGAGTGTTCACACAGCAATGAAATCCACTATAATTTCCGGTATGCCTTTGTAATTGCAGACCTGTAATATCCAGTTTCTGGATTTCATATCCTTTCATTGTCCATCGTGTCTGAATATTGCTTTTGAATATCTTAATATGACAAGATTAATTTGAAAAGGTAGATTAAGTCAGATAATAAAGTGGAGAACAAGATTCGTAATAGCTCAACTAGATGAACGAGATTTCTTGAGTATTTGTAAGACATATCCTTACTTCAAAAGCTAATTAATTGAAGTTACCTCAACTTTACATATACACAACCCAGCATATAGCACACGAGATACTGCGCTTGGCGCTCCCCATCTTATTTCATCGTACTTTATATGGGAAAAATGATATGATCATTATTAAAATTGATAATGATACTCGATGCATAATTATCGCTACCATTAGTATCACTTTTTTTTTATCAATTGTTACCTGGGAGTCCCAGGATTTTCCTCGAGATGAAAGCTCCGCTATAAATCAATTATCTTTTCCTGAAGAACAGTCCATCATGTAAGGGCAGAAACGTTAACCTTCTTAATTTATTATCATTATTTTTTTAATTTATTAGCTTCGCCGGCAGGCAGGGACCCCGCAACAGCTTGCGCCAATTACTGCGAGCCCTAGTACCCACCCATCCCACCCCAGGGGAGGACATCCACCACACAGTGATCTCGTGCGTGGGAAATTAACGTCTCCTACCCCAAACCTAAAGAAGACGGGACCTACGGTTTATTCGTCCTTATCCGAGAAGACTAGAATGTCCATCCATTTCCTGATATTAGAGAAAGGTAGCACATTCTCCTCAGTAATATTAAGACCGTCATATTATATCCCCCTCCCGGTTAGCTCAATGGATAGAGCGCTGGACTGTTGTGCGGGAGGTCGAGGGTTCGAGCCCCGGCCGGACTAACATTCAAGGTCTTAAAATAATTGAGAAGAATATGCTACCTTTCTATAACATCAAGAAATGGTTAGATATTCTAGTCTTCTCGGATAGGGACGAATAAATGGAGGTCCCGTCTCCTGCAGGGTTAGGGGTAGGAGACGTTAATTTCCCATGCACGAGATTACTGTGTGATGGATTTCCTCCCCTAGGGTGGGACAGGTGGGTTTGTTGGAGCTTAAAACTCGTAGGGGACCCATGTCCTATTGTTTCTGCTCCAATACTTGGTAAAAATCCTTAAATAAATAAATAAAATAAATTAAGACTTTGAGTGTTGGTCCGGCCGGTGCTCGAACCCTCGACCTCCCGCTCAACAGTCCGACACTCTATCCATTGAGCTAACCGGGAGGCGGTTAGCTCAATGCTATTCCATTCATGCCGGTGTCATTTCTTTTCAAGGGCACCTTTTTCGAAACCGAAGGTTTTTCCTGTAGGTGAAAGCTCTTCTTTGACTCTGGCAATCCTCTTTTCCAAGGACCAGGCCAATACGGGAAAGACACTTTAGCCCTATCGCTGTTACATTCACCCAGGTGTCACCTCTATTCAAAATACCCCTTTTCTAGCTAGTAATATTCCATTATTGAAAACATCCATGCGAGACTAAAGCATCGTCTAGCTTATCAGTAACTGGATATTTTCGCGCTGCGTGTAATATCAAGTGTCTAATATCTTACAAGATTATATTTTTGCCTCTAATACCTCTTCAGGAGACTAGTCTATTATAAGTACAGCAGCTTTAGCCCCATTGCTGTTGCACTCATTCAGGTGTCACAACTATTCAAGGGACCCTTTTTCGAGACCTAAGGATGATTCTGTAGATGAAAGTTCCGCTTTGAACAATCCTCTTCTCAGAGGACTAGGCCATTAGTCTATAGTTTTACCAAATTTTTCTTATGCCCTGCTGATTTATGGTGCCTCAGACTCCGACCTTTCTATAGTACAGAATTTTTTGGACCGGTGTTTGACAAGGAAGTTTATGTCCAGGAATGTAGATATCAGGGATTTACTATAGAAGGCGGACAAGACACTCTACAAAAAAAGATCGAATGACCCCAAATGCCCGTTTTTCCAGAACATGAGGTACAATCTTAGAAATACGGCTGTCTCTGTCCCTAGAATCCACACTGAAAGGTTTAAGAACGTTTTTAGTAATAGGATAATTTTTAAATATGACATGTAATAGTTTCCCTTGTGAGTTTATGTTGTAACTTAGGATGTGATTTTATCTTAAGAAATAAAGATTATGTTATGTTATTAGAATTGAGCTAATTACTGTTACATTCAATCAGGAGTCACCTCTATTCAAAGGAACTTTTTTCGAGTCCCAGGGAGGTTACTCTATACCAAATCTCCGCTCTAACTGGCAGTCTGCTATTCAGGGAACTAGTTCATCAAAAGAACCCTTTTCCGAGTCCCCAGGATGTTCCTTCACATGAAAGCTCTTTTATGAGTCATTTCTCGAACTTGGTCTACCTGCGTTGCCCGTGTTAGTGTCGTCAGTATTTGTCGCTCTCTCTTTTTCATTCGAGGGGTGAATCCTGGACAATGATTGGTTGCAGCAGATCATGCTCCTCATCTTCTCCTTGAACTGCTGGTTTAGCAGAGCATAAACAAAAGGATTGACAGCAGAGTTCAACAAGATCATGGTGAAAGCCACGTCAAAAGGAACAGGGCCGATTGATATAGAAGCGACATCCAGTAAGGTGAAACAAACTTGTAGGGTTGCCCATCAGATTCCAAAGATGACACTGACGATAATGACCATCAAGGTGACCCGCTTACGAACTCTTATCACACCCTGCAAATGAGAGGATACAAAGCTGACTTACGCCTTTACAATGGAGTGATTAAGAGTTATGTATCGAATGTTATCTAGAATCGCAAAGGTTTTGATTCCTTACGTTCCGTGATGACAGAGCTAAAAGTCGTTTGCATATGTCACACATGTCACGAACTTTTACATGTGTTCCGAGGGTTTCTGTACCGTTATCGGGTGAGTCGGTTTTGGTGTTATTGTTAAGTTAAGTAGGTCTCACTCCCATTGCAATGAGCCACGATGGATTTCCGGGGTCGATCGTAGGTGAAATTTTTCCCAGAGTTCTGTTACTTAATACCCGCCTGCATTTCATGTATCAATGATTGTGTATCTTTTATTCCATACGGAATGATGTAAGAAAAAGCTTTTTCCGGGTGAGCATCGTGCAACCAAAACCAAAGCAGCATCAACAGCCGTTAGAAAACTCCCTGGAGGCTTTGGTTTTGAAGCTGATTGGTGGAGAAAGTGGCGCGACTTTTCTGGACCAATCACCTAACGAAGTAATGCAATCCCATCCTACTATCCACACTTAATTGAAAACTGCTCTACTATAAGTAACATTTTCGTATGCTCCAGTGGCCCAAAGGGAAAAAACCTTACTTGCTGTTGGTGGGTGGCTTCGTTACCATCGATAGCTTTGGAGCACAACGTGTAAATAACCCTAGAGTATAACACGATCATCACCAACAAGGAAACAAATACCAGAGTGGACCATGCGAAGTTGTACGCTTTCGACATCCAATGCTCGGGCCAGTTTCGCACACAAGATCGTCCATCTCCTTTAATTATGAAAAAGAGTGGCGAGGTGAAAATAACTGAAAACAGCCAAGCGCACGGGACAATCACCTGAAACAAACGCCCAGTAACGATTACTGACCTCTCTACGAATAGTTGAAAACTGATTCAAAAGTAATTTGATTTAATCAACTAAGTTGATAATGTAAACTGGCCACCGCGAAGGTTTAAAAGCTGACGTTTCGAGCGTTAGTCCTGCGTCTGACGAAGGACTAACGCTCGAAACGCCAGCTTTTAAACCTTAACGGTGGCCAAATTACATTATCAACAGTTGATAAAACCAAATTGCCTTGTTACCCCCACCGATGTAGCACCACAGTTTCTTTAGAAACTTGCCCCCTTTATTCAAAAGCAGTTTATTGAGAGTAGGAATAATCTTTGAGATAGAGTACACGTTACGTTCAAATAGTATATG